GGTCATGTATTAGTCATTTCATACCAAGGAAGAAAGACACTTTGAAAATAACAAGAATTCTTCTTGGACTTTTGTTATTGACAGCAGTTCTGTTTGGGTATGTCAGATATACATTGTTCGGTAACCACTTGGACTCAGAGCCAAACAGAATTAGGTACCAGCAGAGGGTGGTGTTGGCCACCAAAACTTGCATTGTTGCTGTAATCTCCGACCCTTACAATGGCTGGAGTAGCAACCATCCCTTGATTATAGCCTTCTGTCTGTAGTACCTAAAGGATCATTCAGAAAAGGACATCAACAAACTACCTAAAGATCGTAACACTGTATAATTTTTCTCTCTCTCCAGGCTATCAAATGTCGTCTAGCCGACCTCAAAGTTCCAGAGGGCGATTGGAGCCCTGAGGCCGTTCAGTGGATAAAGGAGGCAGTCATGAGCTCTGAAGACTGTAAAATGAAGGTTATATATATAACATAGTTAACAAGTTAAACTTACAGCTGAGTTGAACTTCACTTATAGTATAAATAAACACACTGTGCAAATTAAGTTTACAAATGAGGCCCTGGTAAAATACGACCTGATAGACAGGAATGTTTACAGGCTGTAACTGTAATGGCTCAGGTTATAGTTGGCTTCTTCAAGGGAGTGTGAACAGTCATGCTGACCTCTAGGGTCTGTCTGACTTTGTATATGCCCCATTTCAGATCATGAAACTAGACGAGCACAAAGGGGCATGGCTGGTCTATATGTACCTCTTCATCGGTGCTGACAGCCAGGAACTGGACAAGAGCATCAACCATCAGCTGGCTCAGTCTGAGCACTGGCAGAAACTCACCACACAGAACACCAACACAGTCACCGGCAGTTACAAAAGCATAGAAACAGGTAATACTAGACAGAGACTAGTACTCCTTTTTTGTCTTTGTTCTAACATGTGAAATAAAACTTTTTGGGAAGCGGGACATTTTTTTATTGTTTATTTTTTGTGTTTAAAGCATAAATGACTTTGAAATGAACTCTTGATTTGAAGATGTTTGCATGTACTTGTGTTTACCTAGGTCTCAGTGCTCTAGTGGAGAAGTTGACTCTGAACAGCCCTGTTCCGAGCCCTCTTGTTAAAACTACACACCAGCCTTGCTATGAAGCAGAAGACTCCTCTCTCACAGATGGAACCACGAGAAATGGGAAGCAGCCACTTCCATTGCCTCCCCTTCTGGAGCTTCCCCAGGTGTGTGGAGGGGGACAAACCTTATCTCTCTTTTTTTTACTTGGCGTGTAAAGGAAGTAGGGATAAAGACCATAGTGTGTTATGTCTTTTCCAAGCTACAAGCTGTAATCACTTTTATTATTTTATGATTCAGTGTGTCTTAACGGTCAGTTGATCAAATCTGAAGCAAAATGTGGTATTTGGGCAGCCTGTACAGTTTATTCTAACAAAAAGTGTACCACAGCCATGGCACTATCTACTCACTTTCTGGCATGTATGTTCACCATCGAAAATAGGCTCATCAATGCTGAACGTTGAATACGTAGAGCATTCTGTCAGTACGATGCATTTGCACCTGGGGGTGGGAATCTCTCTGCACCTCACAATTTGATTCCGATTCAGAGGGCTATGATTTGATTACAAAATGATTATTGTTGCATGAAAGAATTTTCTCACTATGCATCATTAATTTATTTTTTCACTGTGTAACTACTAGAGGTATGCATCTTTACTTGCCTTGTGATTTGTGCTTTAAAAAGTATTTTAGAAGTGTGCTCTGATTTCCAAAATAAGGTTTTCAATTCAAAAATCAGACTTAAACAGTAAGACTATAACAATGGTCTATGCTCTCCACATAGATCTGATTCATGTCATCTTAAGCCTTTACTGTATCAGGGTGGCCCTGCCTGCCCCCCCTTGGCAGCATCGAGGCACATTATCCAATGGTCAACTTTGGATGTAGCAGAAAGTATTGTGTTTCTGCATTGATGCATAGTCGTCCACGTGTGCATCGTGATGCATTGGGGAAAAAAACGATGCATTTCCTCACCTCTGCTGTGCACAGGGACTTCAAGTCTCTTTAGAGGAACCTTATCAAAACCTCCTCCACCACGTTGAGGATGTACTGCTTAATAATGGTTTTTAGCTTGGTTCTTAAAGGCAGCATAAATGAGCCTTAACCGTAACCCCAAACACCTCATTCTCTTCCTCCTTTTCTTTCAGCCTGGTCAGAACATGGATGTGTTTGTGCCAGTGGCCTGCCACCCCAGGTACTTTGTGCTACAGCCATGGCAGGACCTGCATAAGCTAACGGTTTTGATGGGGGAGATGATCTTCTACTATAACCAACACAAGACCACTACACACATCCAGAGAGGAGATGTCTGTGCTGCCAGAATAGACAAGAAGTAAGTGATTTAATGTGTTTGCAGTTCATGCCAACAGGATTTGTAGTTTGTACTCATCACATGGCTCCTGCAAAAGAGTGCTCAAGGAGTGTTTTAACCCAGAAGCAAAACACATCTCCCTGCATCTATTACACACAAAATGTTGTCATGGTAACATCTTTTTAATTTTATATAGATCTCAAAGTTAAACTATAAGTGCTTCTGTCTTCTTAGGGGCTTTCATAGCATTGCCATTTTATGAAAGGAATACTTTGTTGTAAGCTTATGAATTCTCATGATTGGTGCCTGAGCATTGCTGATTGTGTAAATCTCTCAAAAACAAGATACTATTCTGAATGGTTGATTGTTCAACTGATGCCTGTCTTTACACAGCTGGCACCGCGTTCAGGTGAAGGAGATTCTGGCCAACGGGCTGGTGTCTGTCTATGAGCTTGACTATGGCAAACATGAGCATATCCAGCGTAATCTCATCAGGCCCCTGATTGAGGAATTCAGACAACTGCCTTTCCAGGCTGTCACTGCGCAACTGGCAGGTGAGTTGGAATGTAATCGACGTTGTTTGGCTGTTCCATAGACTGTAAATAAAATAATAATAAGATGGGAGACGCATCACTACTTCCTCCAACTTATCAGTTAAGAGCCACCTAAAGAGACATAGTGTCTACTTTTCAGCCCTTGGGAGTTCTCATAAGCATTTATCCAACTCTCTCTCAATTATTTATTATGCATTATTTCTGAATATTAACTGAACTGTCCTCATTAAATGTTTTCTTGATTCTAAACTACACAAGGTTAGAGTACTCTGAATTAATGATATTTCTTTTGAACTGTCTCAATGACCCTTGGCAAAACAAAGCAGAGCATTTTGTGTCATCAGCCTGACCACCGGTACCCAGACATAAAGCTCAGTATCAGTTCACATACAGTTGCATCTCCTCCTGTTTGTCCTCCAGGTGTGAAGAGGCATCAGTGGTCAGAGGAGGCCTCCATTTTATTCAGAAGCCATGTGGAGAAGAAAGCACTGGTAGCCCAGGTGGTGAGTGTACATGAGGGGTCAGAGGTTAAAGGTGACCTGAATGAGCCCCGCTTGACTGTTTATCTTGTGGACACAACGTTGGAGGACAGGGACCTGTGGATTCACACCCTCATGGTCGACATGGACATTGAGCTGTCTTCAGCTGCGTAAGGCATCACTTCAAACATGGTGGGAAATTTATCAGTTATCAGACTCCAACTACAAAAGTTAATTTTTTTTTTAACAAGCCACTGTTTTTGATGGTTGTTTTAATTTTCTACAATTTGAAAATCCTGGGAGACTTTTAGAAGCCAAGTGTTTCACCTCTCTCTCTTGTTTTGCTGAGGAATAATTTTCCTGACTCTAAAGACTGACAAACTTCCTTCTAGTCAAGTCACCTTTGTGTTGCATGTTGTGTTGTGACTCTATGACTTCATTAATCTGTTTTTTTGCTATGTGGCTCATTTTGCACTTGTTTTGTGTACATAAGAAATTTGTGTTTTAATAATCTAATTCACTTGACTTCTCTGCACTGCTAAGCACAATTTAATAATGGTGTAGTTGTTAAAACGTGATTGGAACATCTTGTTTAATATCATCTTGTGTTACTTGGCTGAAAAAAAATAAGTCTACTGTTAAAACTTGAAAAGTTTTTCACTCCATTGTGTTCTAATAAAAGGTGGAGACAAATGAGGGTGTACTATGACTGAGCACTTCAAAGAGGGTTTTGTCTCCACTTCCTCTCACTATCCTGTAATGGAGCCAAAATATCCTGGACATGAATGTTGCCATTTTGTGCATTTGTAGCCAGAATCTGTGCAGTAGTGATCGGGGGATGGTGAGGTCCTGCTGATACACGCTCTCGAGCAATTGTCAGTCTCAGCTTTCAATCATAACATTTTACCCCCTTTACTGTAGCATCAAATCTAAACCAAACTTAATGTACAATAGGGAGGCAGAAGTTTGGATTTTTCTTCTCTGAATAATCAACTTGCAACCTCCCATATTCATCTTGATGATAAATTATCCAATTCTACATTAAGTAGGTAAGTGTAGGTTCAGCTGTAGTGAGCTATGTTACTTAAACATAAATACATCAGTATATCCAAGCTATGATGCAGTACAAGAAAATATACCGTTTATGTTGGATATTTTTCTACAAAAGGTGTTGGTACTTACGGTACTGACTTGCAAAGTTTCCTCATCCCTTCACTTTTTTCATTTTCTTTTTTACATGTTGGCTACAACCATAAGTTCATAATGACAAATGACTGATACAAGTTTTTTGAGTGTTTTCACATTTATAAAAAGATGGTAAAACTGAAATATCACATTGACATAAGTATTCAGACCCTTTGCTATGAAACTTGGAAGCTCAGGTCTCAGATGACTGAATTTTAATTTTTTGGTGAACTATCCCTTTAAGACACACACGAACAGTGTCAAAGTGAAATCACTTTCATTTTATGAAAACTACAGACGAAAATCTCGATTGCAGACAAACAAGGTAGGATGAACACAGTTTTCTGACTTCACTCTGCATGCACCATAGATTGTTTATTTAAAGCTCTCTCACAAACAGTAGAAACATTGTAGAACTGTTTGAGGAGGACTTGCTAATGACTAGGAATAATTCGGATGAAGCTCCGGAGCATTAACACAACAAGAGAACGGCACAATCCAAACAGGCAGGTTCACAACGAAAACTCTCCGAGTTAGAAAAAAAAAATACTGGGTGGCTGTGTGTCCGATAATGGAGTGACATCACTGGAGTGACAGAGCAGCCGCATGTGGGGTGAGGAGGAGGAGGGACGATCTCTCTCTCTCCCCCTCCACATAAATTTACTTTGCCCTTTGCGGGAGATGAGCTTCAGCCTCCGCAAAAAAAACTTGTGAGAGCCGAGCAGCGGGGACGGGGAGGGAGGAAACTGCTGGGAACTCGCTCAAATCAGCCGCATTGAGGATTTATCCGCGGGGCGCTGGACGGTGTCTTGGAGCGGGACTTGGTCGGAGCTCTCCCTGAGTAGCGCGGCTCGCAGCGCGGCTCGCAGAGCAGCGGACCCTCGCAGGGCGACTGGAGGAAACCATATCTGGTCAAAGTATTCGTTGCTGTCACCCGGTGGGACCGTCCGGCTATAAATAGCGCGGGAGGAGGTACGGAAATAAACGCAAAAGTCCGAGCGCACAGTCAAACTAGTGCACATCACATATGCATGGGAGCAAATTATGGAGCAGGGCAACCGTTTAAAAAGGCGAAAGAAATTAGAAGTGACTGACGAGGGATCTGTGGAATATCAGGAATAGTTTTTATTTGAATGTTTTCTTTCCTTTTGTTTTCATGGCTGTTGGAGACTTCCTCTTAAAAGTACAGACTTAATACATAAAAAACCTGCAGTCTTGAATGAGCAATTTGATGATCTCTTATAGTTCAGAATTAGAACAAATTACCATGATCTGTATTTGCAGACTCTACAAACTTCAGATAACATCTAATAAAAAAAAGTTATGGGTCAAACATGCCAGAGCTGTAGACAATACACTGTCTCCTAAGTAGTTCATGGATGAATACTTTCAGTATGAAGTATTACTACCTTGCATCAGGAGTTCAGTCAGTAAGTGCTGTGAGGGGCAGCTCTTTGTAACCTTTCATTAGTTGCTTAGTTTTCATTTGTCGGTCCAGCATGCATCTCTCTCCAGGAGCTGTTTCCTCACTCTCTGGTTTTGCACACCATCTGAAACCTGCATAGATGCATCCATTAGTCTATTCATGATCTCTGAGCTTAGTGTTGCACCACACGAGCAGCTAACCCGAGACTACCCTCTGATTAGCGAGGAGACGTGTGCTAAAACATTATGACATTTTGACCTCTGCAGAATGCACAAATGGACTCACCTCAGGTCCGAGGCAGCAAGCTGAGCTGCTGGGCCTCCGAATATGCTGATGGTCCTCAAAGTGGAGTCTTAACAACACAGTGGCCAGTTTTTGATGAGTTTAGTGTCCTCGTAAATGAATAAAACTGATTGATTGAAGTTTTCAGAAAATAATATTGAATTAATTCAATTAAATTCTGTTTTATTTGTATAGCCCTAGATCTCAACAGACTTTATCACAAGGCACTTTACAGAACGAGAACAGTGGAAAGAAAAAACGTAGCTTGTAACAAAGAAGCCTTCAACAGAACCAGGCTCAGGTTGAGCAGCTCACTGCTTGGACTGATTAACAAGGGTTATGAATGAGAATGTGATTCTGACTTTCACTCTTTTTTCTCAACTTTACATATCATGTCAAGTAACGAGCTGAAATGAAAAAGACTGGAGACTCTGAGCAGGTGGAGGTTATATTTTCAATCCTGTCTGGTTGTTTGTTTATTTGTAACCAAGATTACAGAGAAATAACATATTTCCAAGAAACCTGGTCACATTTTGGTGCAGATGTGAATAGGGGCGGATCCAGGAAAGATTGGAACAATAGAACATTGAAGATCTTTCTTGATTTCTCAGAGGATAATTAATGGCTCAATAATGGGCCTGATATGTATGAGTGTGTGAAATATGGTACAGCTTGATTGAATGTTAGTGGCGGGTTGGTCAATTGATTTAGTTATTATCTGTGCTAAACTTAAATCTACCAAGTAAGTGGACACCCTTATTACTGTCAGAGCAGAAAATACACACACACACACACACACACACTGCTGGAGCTTGTCTCTGCCTCTGCTTTATGACCTATGGCTGAGGGCAGGACAGTTGCCCCTCAGCTGTTTTCCTCTGTGCCACGTTTGAAACCAGCACAATTCAACCCTGGATTTTCAAAGGGCACAGTCCCAGGAAATGAAAGATTATCTGACCGACGCTCCAGCTATGGATCCCCCTTCAAACCTGCAGCTATCGTCTGGTTAGAGATCCAAAGGCTCCTAAGAGGGATCTGGAGTCTGTAGCTTAAATTCAGTTTAACTTTGTGTCGGAATCTATAAAAGACTTTCAGTAGTTAAAAGTATACAAATCTTGTCAGGGTCAGTTCAGCTCGTTTAAACTCCTACGTTAACTGCGTTTTGACAGAGTTTACAGACAGCAGCAGTATATCAAGCTGAAGACTTTTTTTTTTTACGTGAAATGTCCATGTGCTGCTCCCATGCAATTTTGTCATGACGGTGTAAGCTGTTTGGAGGGAAGTTGTCTGCTGTGCTCTCACTGTGTTTTATGTGCCAGCTATAAGAGCCACTCGGGAGACTCCAACTTCATTGGGGTTTATGTTTAAAAATCAAACCAAAAGATTTACAAAGAAATCGCTGTTGAAGCAGCTCATCATACACAAGTAGCTGCGTGTGTATTTTTGATATATATGAGAGCAGTTGCCACATTAAACCATGCACTTCCAAGGTTTTACACTCATCACACTAGATCGTGCATCGGTGTTGCAGTTAGAGGGGACTGCAGAGGTCCTGGTTTAGGGGCCAAGTCAAGTGTTTATGACTTCACAGGGAACATTCAGGCTCAGGTCATCTCTGCTTCTTCGTCCTCTCTGCCTAGTGAATGTCCTCGGATGAAGCAGGAGCTTGTAAACTTTATAAATACAGACACAGGTCTGTTTGATATCATCGGGGCAGGTCAGCGTCTTCCAGCAGACTTGCAGCATTATTTGGAGATCAGCCCAGTTCTTCATCTTGGGTTTTGGAAACTTGTCTTGTCATGAGCTTAAGAGGGAGCAGAACAAAAGAATGGCACGCTTGACCCTACCTGTTAGGAGGTTAGCCAAAACACACTTGCTGACATACTTAAGATCAAAAAGTAAAGTTTGCGGTCACATTTGTGCCGCTCGACTGCTGGATCTCTTGCACATCAGTTGGGTTTTTAAACTCCATCTTAAACTTTTTCTGCCTAATTTGAGTTAATTCTCATCCCGGCATTGGAGGCTCACTCAAGTTATTATTAGTCTTGTCATGTGGGGATCTGTCAGCGGCAGCTCACAACTCCTTTCAAACCCTGACCCAGAGTTGTAAGAGACCAGGGCTCTGGGGCAAGCGCGTGTGACTAGTGTTTGGTGATGTGACCCACAAATGTTCCGCTGCAGCTCACCCATCATCGGTCATCTACCACAGCCAAAACTCTGCCATGCAGAGTGTGACCATGAGAGGAAAACAGACCCAGAGTCTCTCGAGCTGAGACAGAAAGAAGGAGAAAAAACACATTTTGGCACAAGATATTTGGTTTATCCCTGGTTTGACTTTTAGCCTTTTGTGCAGAGTGCTTGGAGAAGAAAAGCAGAGCTGCATTCTGATACTGCTTCATAGCATAGAGGTCAGCAAGAGGATATAAAACTGGGAGGAAATAGAGGATTAGTTCAGACAGACAAAATGACAAGTGAACAGGTGCAAACGTGTGTTAGTTCAAGGTTTGTCTGCTGATATAATCAAATCAAACTTTATTTGTTTGGCCCTTTTTCACAAATAGCAATTTACCACATAGGGATTAACAATCTGTACAATGATTGATGTCCTCTGTCCTTAACCCTCAACTAGAGTGGGGAAAATCTTCCAAAAAAACTTTTAACATGGGGAAGAAAAATGTAGAGACCTCAGGGAGAGACAAGTGTTCTTCTCCCAGGACGGACAGAAGTGCAATACATGTTGCGTCGAACAGAACACGTCAACAAAATAATATTTAAAACATTCATGGAAAAAGCAATTAATGGGGGGTCACGGAACGCAGAGCAGCAACGACAATTGTACTGATAGAGGTGTGGTCAGTAATAGTACAAAATAATATTGTTTTTAGCTGTAATCATAATCCACGATCATGATTTCCATGATCACGTCATGGAAATTGTCCATGTATCTACTTTGGCAAATCACATCAGTGGTCTGTTGTTGAACTTAGCTGGTCTGTTTGGTACGTCATTGCTGCCTCACTTACCCCCTCACCCTTATTTTTTCTATTCATACACATTTTCACGACACATTCAGAAAAGCCATATTTAATCTTCTTACTGTCTGCCCTTTTTTCAAACATAACCCTTTATCATTATTCTTTAGTCATTCGCCTGTGACAAAGTGTTTATATCTGAACTAAGGCTTCATGGCCAACTCACAACCACCTGACTTTTTTTTTGATTGTTTCTGGTTTGAAAATACAAAATCAAAGTATCATGCATCCACTACCTATTTCGCTTACCCTTTAAGGATAGCACTGGGAGCTGGACAGGCCAACAGAGTATTGCAGGACTTGCATACAAGATCAACAACCATTCACTCTCACATTCAAACCCACGGTCATTAAAAGTTCCTAATACCTGTTTCACACCACAATTCACGGGTAAACGCAGTTTTTTTAAAACTTGGGTAAAAAGTCGATTGAGTCTCTTCCTGTTGGCAGAGGAGTTTGGTTTTCAGTTTTTTTTCATCCGGTTTTGACGTCACGGACGCATCATAAACTGAGGCGGTCTCTAATCTCGCCGTCTTTCTAAAGTAACGCGCCAAACTGGGTGTCATTTTTCCATCACTGCCGATTGGAGCTGAGCTACTGCAGAGTCATTTGACCCGGGAGGGAGTCCAATTATATCCATTCTCATTGCAGACAAAAGCCAGAACCTATCTGGAAGTCTTGTTTTCATATTTAAAAAATCTTTTCTCTTAAATGTGATGATGTCTTATCATAAATTACATCATCAACAATTGAATTGCAGCTTGACATAAAAGCGTTGATTTGCTGCCTCTCAAAGGGTTAGATGACTTATTGTATTTATTGTTTAATTCTGAGAGCCGTTAATCTCTCTTCACTCTGCCTCCTCCAGGTCTCGCGCTCTTTCCCAGCAGCGCTGCAGGCACCCGGCTGCCTTCGCTGTTATTTTACCCCTGAGCTGGGGGTGATTGAAGTGAGTATAGTCAAGTTTTTACAGCAAGAAGCAGCAGCACTGAGTTGATGCATGATTAGTGTATGCTACATCATATCCCTTGCCAGTCTACAGCCAATTTCTCTGACCCTTTAAACACTGTTATTCCACATTAAGTGCAGTGCTGTTTTTTTATTAGCTTTCTCCATCCACAGACATATTTTTTTTCTTAAGACTCCTGATCTATATTTTGTCTGTTCAGGTGGAGGGGTCGCTGAGGTAAGGGAAGTGTTGGAATGCCTCTCATATCCCTTGGTGTTTTTGTACAGTGTAAAATTACCATGGCAGCACTGAATCTCTCAAAACACAGCTCAGAAATCTAAACCTTGCAAAAAGAAAACATGCCAAGAGATCATGATGGTTTGGTTGAATTGCTAATGTGGCCATATTTTTGACCTTATTAAGAAAATACGAAAATACAAATGCATAAAATAAAGAAATGATAATAAAGAAATCAGAAAGAATAATAAAAGGTTTGCATCTGGATCAGGGGGAAGATCCAGAAAAACATATTTTACTTTGAGATATAATAAGTCATGGATTTCAATGAAAAATATTTATGAGTCTGGTGCAGATCCCAAAAAAAGCCAGATCTAGTGAATTTAATTGTGGTTTCATAAGGGAACTGTTGGGCCTCAGGGGAGGTATGTGCTCTACGTTCTACTTTGTTCAGTTTTTGTTGTCACTATAGCTGTATGTCTATTTATGTGTAAGACCACTGAGAGAAATGCTCAACTGGAGTCAAATCCCTGTGTACATATACTTGACTAATAATTCAGTTTCTGGTCCCTGAAAGTAACTCACTGATTTATTGTCATTTAATCCTTTTTAGCAGAAAATCCATGCAATGAAAACAGTTTTAACTTAACGTGTTTGTGCTTATTTTTCAAATTATGTCTACATTTCATGAATTTGTGTCTCCAGGTGCGCTGTCCATCATGTCGGTGTTGAGGAAGGAGATGGAGAAGTACAGGGACATAGACGAGGACGAGCTGCTGAAGAAACTCTCAGAGGAAGAGCTGCAGCGATTAGAGGATGAATTAGAGGAGCTGGACCCTGATGTAAGTTTACAGTGTTAAGTCCATAAGAAGCTGTTCCTGTCACTGTGTTGTTGTCAGTGGAGAGTTATGAGGTATGATGCAGTCTATCACTGCAGCTACGTGTTTTCACCTGTTAGCTGGTCATTTCAGATTTAAGCCAGTCAAACGGATTAGTGACAAACATTGTGATGCCACAGGGTAAATGGCTGTGGCAGCTGATGGACAGTGCTTTGAATGCTGTAGATAAAACCAGCTTTTCCAGAGGTGATTTACATGCAGCTGGTTGGCAGTTGGTTAGTTAGTGTTTCTGCTCAGTGTGACCTTTTGGCTGGTTAGAGTTTATATTATAATCAAATAATGATAATCAAATTCAGTATTTTATGGGGGGTCGCACATTAATTTTTACAGTTTAATACAACTAATTATTAGCATAATGAGATTGTATTAAAGGTTAGACCCAAAAGTTTTACTGAAAATTGTTTGAGGGTGAACAGTGATGTTACCAGAATCATTACAACTGAAATAAACCAGGAATCAAATATGATATAAACAGTTGGGGATTTATTTAGTACACACAGGTACAGTTTTATTTAAAACTTTAACCTTAAATGAAACTTTTTAGGTGTTTAGGCTGTTAGGCTGTTAGAAATCCAACCAAGATTTCATAATAGCTTCTTTGTTGAGGATATTCATTTAGCCAAAATTCTAAACCAGATGTAATACTTTTCATTTGTTGGACAAAACTCAGTTTAAAGTGTTTACATTTGTAACTGCAGAATGGCAGCTATCTAGTTCTTTGCTGTTTTTTGGATAATTTCCCCCTGAATTGTCAAGTGATCCAGATTAATCAATCTTGAAAATAAAATGAAACTGAATTCCAGAAAATATTCAGCCTTTTCTCACGCGTAGTCACATTTTACAGCAGAAGTGCCTCAACTTTTCAGCCCAACATAACCGTGCCAAAGACTTGCGAACCCCATCATCCCAAAGAATATATATATATATATATATAAGAGCAAGTTCGCCCAAAAAACATTCACCTACATGCACATGTTGCAATGTTTCCTGTGGTGAACTGACAAAGAAACAAGTCGTTTTAAGTTTTTGTAACAATTATGGTTAAATCTGATGTTTTAAATTGTTTATAAACTGTATTTGTTTTCTGGAAATCATCCTGTGATCCTCTATCTGCGGCGCTGACCTCCCAGGGGACCAGATCCCCAACTCCTGATTTACAGTATTAGTCTGTTTGTTTTGGGGGAGTTTATGGGAGGCCAGGTTAGGGTATCACGGCTGCAGTCATTGTGCTATAGTTACAGCTCACCAGTTATGACTGTGTTTAGTTTCTGTGTATTTACTGTCTTCACCATTTGATACGTCTAAAACGTAGACCTTCATACCGGCAGTCATGCGTCATGGGTGGAGGTGGTGACAGCAGCTGTAGTAGCTTTCTCATGAGTTTCCCGACAGCTCATAAAGAGCCTGGATTCCCCCTCAATGCCAAGGCGATGACTCGAAGGGTATAATCTGCAGGAATCAGTTTGCCTGTGTGTGGGTTGGCGAGAATCATGCCAGCACTGAGTGACCAGAGGGACTCCATGACATAGACAGAATAAACAGGGAGAGGCAGTGCACGCGTTTACCTTGTTTGTGCCTGTTTATGATGGAAACCTGTTGCACAACAGTGAAGTGCCCCTTTTCTTTCCCAGCAGGGCTTCACGTCAGTTTCTGTAAGTTTCTGAAAAAGCTTCGTCATGTGGGACAAAAAAACAATGTTGTCCAGCTGCACTGCGATTGTAGAGAGATAAATATCTCCTCAATCACCCAGAGAGCATTTGTGGTTTTAGCACCTACAGTAGTACGTCACAGCTAACCCACTACAACTTGAACTGTTTCCTTCAGACATCATGCTCACATCCTTGTGGCTCTCACTTGTAATCTGAGATTTGTTACAGTTATGGATCACATCTCTAATGTCCTGTTCTAATCTGAATAGGATAATACAAGGGTAGCATTTCAAATTATATCATAGAAAGTGAAAACCTTGTCATTTTTCTCTCAACACAAGCCTGAGCTCTACGCAGTGCTACGTAGCTTTTACTGAGCAACGGCGCCCTCTGCCGCCACACGTGGTGAATAATTCTGTTGGTCGCCATGTTTTAGCGATTAAGTGATTTTCATCAATCTCTTGACCGACGCTGTGACTGCGTAGTCCCACTCACTGAACTGAAACTTGATGATGGACATTACCTGAACCAGAAGAGTTGCAACTATAACAAATATACCAAACTCTGTTTAGAATAATTCTTGATATTTCAAAAGTTTCAAAGAGATAAACTCTGGTTTTTAATGTTTTCTTTTAAACTTACCTACAGCTCAGCATTATTCTTGAACTTCAGTCAGTCACACAATAACAGACTGTACCCGCAACAAATGTATTTATTTATTTAAGACGTTCGGAATGAGGAGTAGGAATGATGTCCCATCAAGCTAATTTTGAAGCTACTATTTTAAGCTAAAAGGTTGCAAAGTGTAAATGTCAATTTATACATACAACTTCCCTGTTTTCTTGTTACAGTGACTTTGTTTTCAGCAATGTGCAGCTGTGTTGCGACCAACCTGTCTAGTATCAAATGGCAGAAGAAATCCACCAGCTGCTGATCAAAGTGTATCTGTTGGTGGTGACCAAACCAAAGCAAAAAGGAGAGTGAATATTAGATTTATGTTCATCAGGTTTACAGACAGACAGTCTAAATAAAATGCTGATGTTGCACAGTATCTGTCTATCTCAGACCTGTGCTCACACACGTGCACTGTACTAAAGTCACAGTCAAGTGCTCACTGCCTCCGTGAAGCATTTAGTTGTTATTTACATTACAGCCATTTCTGTGAGGCAGTGTGCCTCGTGTCTAAATGGTGCTGTGTAAATAAACTTGCCTTGTCTATAGATCACTACTGTGGCCTTTGAGAGGAGGAGGAGAGAGGGGAGGGAGATACAGCAGGGGGATTATATTAGAGGGAGAAAGTAGAAAGAGAAATACAGTTAGAGGGGACAGGAGGGTCTCATGCTGGGTGTGAGTGCAGAGGCCTGTTATCTGCTGCTGATATAACTGTGACATAAAAAGCTTGGCAGTGGTGGTGTTGATATACCCTTGGCTTTTCTATAAATACTACCGTAAGTCACGTGAACACAAGGGGAGAAGGTTTATTTTTGTTTGAATAAGTTGAAAATTGTTGGCTGTATTGGTATTATTATCCTTTTGGAAGCGTCTGGTTAATGGAGGGAGACTGATGGCAGATGAATTGAGAGCGAGAGGCAAATGAAAGAGACATGGAGTCATGAGGACAGAGAGAGGGGTCTCTGAGTGCTGAGGGGACAGATAAGATATGAAGCTGTAAGCGGTAGTTCTGAAGAGCAGGGTTTTAGATGTTGCTTTGGGTTGAAAATAACTTGGCATGCACCAAAGCTCTGGGAAATGTCTCGGTCTTGTGTTGGAATGATGCTCTGTTTAATGTCTGTTTCCTTTCAAAATGAATGCAAGTAAGAGCATATCAATACTGGACATATTTCAATAGTACTGTAGATGATTTCCTGCATAATTTATTAAGAATCAGTGTTTACTGTCCCATTGGGGGTACATGCTTTTGAGGTGTATTCCAATCTAATCTCTTTATGGTTTGTTAGGTAGATTGCACAAAAACTGCTGAACAGATTACCATGAAACTTGGGGGAATGATGCATTGTGGGTCGGGAAAGAATCCATACAATTTTAGTGTAGCTCTAGATCAGGGGACAAACCCAGGGACTTTTTTATTCCACTTTATTTAACATTGTGACATAAGGTGTTTTAATTTGTAAATTTAATTTCCCACATATCTAGATAATAATTTGGATTTTGTGAACCGAAGTATATTTATAATCTTTATTCAGCTAATGTGTGGTTACAAACATTTATTTCAGCTGTATCAGAGAATTGGTATTTGAATTTTAATCTAATTAAACAGTTTGCACAATATTTCTGTGTATTTATCTGATCTTAATATGCAGTATGGTGAATAAGCGGCCTACTCAGCCTTGGCCAATGTATACGGTTACTAATGCACTCTGTATTTATTTATTTTTATTTATTACCTTATTGTCATAGATAATTGGCAAAATATATAGAGAAGACATTACATCATATTGCATCATGTCATTTTTATTGTACTTTTTATAATTCAAGATTACTGTTTCATTCAGTTGCATAGCGATGAAGAAATACTGCACTAATTTGATCTACAATGTTTTGCATTCAAGTTACAAAGTATTGGATTTAACTACTAAAGAAAACAAGTTCCTTGTGCCAGTCCTTATATAAATTCCTGTCCTGGTCTAGAACGCGTTGTTGCCGGCTGGGATGCGTCAGAAGGACCAGACTAAGAAAGCTCCGACAGGGACGTTTCAGAGGGATGACCTCCTGGCCCATCTGGAGAAACAGGCCAAAGAGCATCCTGACAAAGAAGACCTGGTGCCCTTCACAGGGGAGAAGAGAGGTAAGGAGTGTCCCACAAGGAATCTACTTAGATGAAGAGGTGGTTTTATCTGGTTCAAAGCACTGCTGTTATAAAGTGAACAGATGACAAGAAGTGTCTTTGAATGTTAAATATATATGAGTTTATATCTGAGTTATACGACTCTCTAGTCTTTCAGATGTAGTATAGGCACAAAACAAAGTCATAAATAGATAATACATCTAAAGTATCCTTGAGTAATCAGAGGTGAGTGATGGATGGTGAGAGATACCAGTCATGTCTGTGAGAAACTCTAGAAGGTCTCACTGCTGTCACTCCCATCATCATCCGAAGAGGAAAGTGAATTAATAATGTCGTCTCTTTGTTCAGCAGCTTTAACTTTACCACCAGTGACCAAGGTATTCAAGTACATCTTCGTCTCATGGTTCAGCCAATAAGCAGCAAATTGAATCATATGAACAGTGAGGACATTTGCAAATCTCTCTGCAACAACTCAAATATGCACCAATATCAAAACTCTAATTTCACAGAATAAACAATGCAGAAAATATTTGCATTTATGTTTACATGTCATATAACAATAGCGTTATTAAACTGCCTATGGTAAGTCTTAGGAATCATTGTCTGTGTGTGTGTGTGTGTGTGTGTGTGTGTGTGTGTGTGTGTGTGTGTGTGTGTGTGTGTGTGTGTGTGTTGTAAGAGAGTCCTGTGACCTCTGCCTTCCATCTGTGTGATATTTCCCCCGGGGAAAGGTCATGATTTATGGTCATTGTTGAACTGTGTCTGTGAAGCACTGACGCCACATTCATGTCAAGTTACAGTTTGTATAAAAAAGAGGGTCTGACCTGTAAAAAGCCTTCATGGCCACATTCAAGTCAGACTTACGACTGGTACCTGATGGGGCAGGATAACTTGTAAAGTTCCACTCATCTTGTACCTGAGAAGAGGTTCAATGTCAGGGACCTTTAATAAAACCGGATATAAACTGTCTCCAGCAAATACTATAAGATTACATTTATGCAAAATGCCATCAGCTCAGGTTTAGGTGCTTGTATTACTGGTCTTATGAAGATTTTTGTGCATTAAAACTGTGTAATATTCATGTTGTAGGAAAAGCCTTTGTGCCAAAAAAGAGGGTGGACCCCATTTTAGAGAACGTGACTCTAGAGCCAGAGCTAGAAGAAGCTCTAGCGAGTGCTACTGATGCTGAACTTTGTGATATTGCAGGTAAGACACACACACAGACCTCCATACACATCTCCTCACAGAATCATATACAGTGTTCATAGGTTTATCAGATTAAGTGAATTTATACATATTCCATGCACCAAAAAGATGTGCCTGGTTTTTGTTTTTTTGCTTCATCTGTTTTCTAATGTTTAAAATACAAACCTCTAAACCTTCTAAAAATGAACAAATGTATTATAAAGAGCACCAAGTGTCTGAATGAGACTTATGAGACTTTGAATAAACTTTATTTGTAGAGTTGAATTTGCTGAAATGCAGGTTCAATCTTGTTCGTCAATAATCAGTGTGAACACATCTTCTCCCTTTTAACCAGCCCCTTTTTAATCAACTTTTCCTCCATCTAACTCTTCTCCATCCACTCTAGCACTCCTACCACCTCCTCTCTTCCCTTTCCCTTCATCTCTCCATCAGTCCCTCCATCTTTTCCACCTCCTCCATCCCTGCCGGATCTCTCTGTTTGCTAGCTGAACACCAAGCGGGGTATATCTGTAGACGGCACAAAGCATTTGCATGGAACGAACCTGTATTCCTCTGTTATGTTTATGTTGACAGCTTGTGTTAAACAGACAGTTGTCTGTAATCTTACATGCATTACATAGAATCATCATAGAGTCTGTGTTAAAAAAATCAGGCACATGGAACAGGTATCTACAATCTGTGTGTCAAATTTGGTGCAGCATGTTTGAATTTAAAGGGACTGTGGTAGCTTGGGGCAGTTTGAACTTTACTGACATTATAGTTTTATATATATTATGAAAGCCATCATTTCTTTGCTGCCTTGGGATAATCTTTCAACTCACCACATGATTTTTACAAAATGGAAACGCATTTAGTTTGATCTGCTACCACAGTCACCTGTCTGTCATCAGCATGGCAAAAAGTTATCAGCATGTCATTGTCTGTAGAATAATATTGTAACCTGGAAGAGAAACTGAAAATAAAGTATTTTAGGAGCAAAAAAATGTCTCTGGGGTGGTTAAGGGTAACATGGCCCCCCCCCTTCCCCTTCCCCCACCCGATAAGAGCAGCTTGGTAGCTTTTGTTCCAAGACATCCTTGCAAACACAGTCTCCTGCTGGGATCTCTCTGAAAAATAGACATTTTTGTTCAGTCAAAAGACATTTCAGATTCACTGCACGGACAGGTTGTGGATGGGTGGCCTGACAGGCTAATACAGTGACGTGCTTTTTAGTTATCATATAGAGAGCAGTAGTCCGCCAACAGAGACCAGGACCTCAGTTACGGCCGTTACACCAAAGCTGGTACATATGTATTATCAATTCAACCTCACATCATACGACCGCATGATTGTTTAATTTGATAGTGTCCGATTTTACTTGCTTGTGATGCTGCAAGTGCTTTTGTGCTCTCTGTATGGCATGGTGGTCACTGTATGGATGTAAGACAAATCTTCTGACTCTTTTTCAGCATCTCTGTCTCTTCTTCTATCTCTCTTTCTTTTATGGCCCTTTGTTCACTTCATCCTTCCTCTTTCTTCCAGCCATTCTGGGTATGCACACCCTGATGAGTAACCAGCAGTACTACGAAGCCCTGGCCAGCAGCACCATTGTCAACAAGCAAGGCCTCAACAGTACATAAAACCCTAACACACACACACATGAAATCTGCCTGCTGTACCAGTACCTGTCTTCACTTGATTCAAACACAGCCTCATCTGCTGCTGCTGCTGCTGAAACACAGTAGATCACTTGGCTGGTTGGAAGAAAATATCACGTCATTGTGGAAATATGCTGAAGTTGGAATGAAATTATATCATCTTGGCAGAAAGTTGGTTTTCTTTACCAAACATAATAGGCTCACTCTTTCTTTGTGTTGCACTTCTTCCATGCACAAATACAGTTACACACATCAAAACCACGTAAATAAGCAGATACAGCCAAGTATGTGTTGAGACTCATACAGTGTCCTACAGACCCTCCAGGAATATCACTGCTGATACATACTTTTTATGCTACACACTGTAAATCGTTCTCTGATATTACTTTATGCCCCAGCTTGCACACACATACATACACATTAAGTTGATTAAAATTCAGTCATTAATACATTTCCGTTTTTTCCCTTTTTGTGCTATTGAAATACCAAAATATTAACGCATTTTGGTGATTTAATAAGTTTAAAGGTCCAGTGTATAAGATTTAGGTGAAAGAGCTCTATTGGGGAACATTAGGGGAAAGACTATGTATGTTTTATTGGGTCCACAAAAAGAGTGTGTTCTGTAATTCTGTTGTATCCAAGGTGTGATCCAGTGCACTCAGTATAAACCAGTCCCTGATGAGGAGCCCAACTCCACTGACGTAGAAGACACCCTGCTGAGATTAAAGAGGAACGACCCTGACCTAGTTGAAGTCAACCTCAACAACATCAGGGTAAGAGCATGTGAGGATAACAAGGGGGAATATGAGGTAGTAGCCATTTCATGAAAGGTGTTGCTATATTACGACACATAATATTTTAAGACCAAACATTATATTCAAGCATAGATAACAAATGAATCATAGAGCTTTTATTCAGCTTTAATGTTTTACTGGTATTTTTCTTCTGTTCACAGAACATCCCCGTCCCGACTCTGAAGGCGTACGCTGAGGCCCTGATGAAGAACACTGTGGTGGAGAGGTTCAGTATCGTAGGAACCAGAAGCAATGACCCCGTAGCATTTGTAAGTTATAGCTGTAACATTCTTATCTCTCGGTAGGTGTTATACTGCTATAACACTAAGCCTGTCATTTACAAAAAAAGTGCCTGACTGTCTATACTTACATGCAAATCTTTTAAGCCTCAAAACTTTGCTTGGCCCAAGTAGCCTTCCTGTGTTTGTTATTGTGAGACTCACATTTATATTGTATAATTGAACATGTTTTCATCAACTAGTGCAGTGCCCATTGTAAACCTGCCTGTTTGCTTGGCCTGTGGTTATGCTCCGGAGCCTATTTCAGGATTATTCCTTGTCATTAGTGCTCACTAAGGGATAAAAAAACTGGCCTACAATATACTGTAACAGAAATTCTTCTTTTATACAGTCTATGGTGCAGAGTGGAGTAAAAAAAAAAGCTTTAAGTTCATTCTACCCGGTTTACCTGCAGTGAAGATGTTACAGTCAATGTATTAAAGGTACAGTGTGTACAGTTTAGTGACAACTAGTGGTGAAATTGCATGTTGCAGCTGAATATCCCTCACCTCACCCTCCCCTTCCAAACATGAGAGAGAACCTGTGGAAGCCTTAAATTGTCGTAAAAATTCTAAAAGTGTTTAGTTTGTAGAGTTTGAACAACTGTAAAAAACATGGCGGCCTCCGTAGAGAGGACCCCTTTGATGTAAATATAAAGTATTTAAATATAAAGGGCCCATTCTAGGGTAAAGAAAACAACAATTCATACAATTTAGATGAAACATTCGTGAAAACAACTTTACCTCAATCTTACACACTGGACCTTTAAGTAAAATGAAACTGAATTTGCTTAATTATGGTTCATGCATGTGTTTGAATCATTTAACGATTCATACATTTCATGTCGGCTATTTCAATCTAAAATCTCAATATAAAGAATTGCAGCAGTAAATTGTTGTGCTTTTACTTTGTAGACAAAGAGGAAGTGATTCTACGAATGTTGTTGCCATGACAGAGATCAGCACCTGCGAATCCTGTGACTGTGTGCCAGTCAAATATGGTGAAATAAAAATAATCAAATTATCAATATGATCTGGTGGCGATTTCGACCTGTGGTTTGATTTAGTTGACGACCAGTGTTTTAGTTTATCTGAGAACGTAAAAGACATGTTCATTTCACCACAAACCTGCCCCCACTGAGCCTGTTAATTCAGATTTGATTAATGTCAAATGCATTGCCAATATTCATGTGCAAAATGTGAAGCTGATAAGATTTCGGTTCTAGATCTAATTTCCACATACAGACAGACTGACAAAGACTAGTATGTGTAATTAGTAGGTAGATTTAATATGTGAGGTTATATCTTCCTAATAACTCGTGTTGCATATAATCCCTCTACCATTTGTTTTTACTAACTAATAAAATGTATGAAAATCATGAAGTGTCATAGACACCATTTATGCTGATTATTCCTCATTTCACTGACCCAGTAGCAGGATTTAGAAAAATGGCTGCAAAGCAATGAGCTACTTAAGGTTTGTATTGTGTTGTGTGCTTCTTCAGGCCCTGGCAGAGATGTTGAGGGTGAACACGACACTGAAGAGCCTCAACATTGAGTCCAACTTCATCACGGGGACTGGAATCCTGTCCCTCATAGGGTCACTGCAGTATAACACCACGCTACAGGAGCTCAAGATAGACAATCAGGTACTAACACACCACTCACTTGCATAGAGTACAGGCAGACTCCTACACACTAACCATGCACAGAAATGTGTGTGGGTATGTGTGTCAGGTTGTGTACTCAGACCATCTTTGCCACTTCAGTCTAATGCTCCTAGATTTCATAGTGATGTGTCACACTGCAGAGTGGTACATCTGTGACTCACTGCTCGCCCATTAGTTCTACTTGTTAACTAATTCACAGATGTTTTATCTTTCAACTTTCTCTCATGTGTCATTAGCTTCATTTGGCTCCATGGATTGATCGGTTGAAATGATACAAAACCAAAATTGAGAAAGCATCTTCCCCCCCTACTGCTTCATCCTCTGTTATCGCATCACTCTGTTATCTGAAGTGGTGCTAGCAGTTTGCCTCCTCCAGCTTTCTACCATAAATCTCCTTTTCTTCCCCTACTCCATCCATCTGTCACTTTCTCCAAACTCCAGAGCCAGCCATTAGGCAACAAAGTGGAGATGGAGATAGCCAGCATGCTGGAGAAAAATACCACGCTGTTGAAGTTTGGTTACCATTTCACCCAGCAGGGCCCACGCCTCCGAGGCTCCAACGCCATGATGAACAACAACGACCTGGGTTGGTCTCACACACACACACACACACACACACACACACACACACACACACACACACACACACACACATAAACACAGAACTGAGAACATGACAAAAGTCCTTTGGCCGGACTCGAACAGATAACATTTCAAGTACATACTGTATTTGATGACTCATTCACCTCACTGTGTTTTCGTTACATAACTCGTACATAGTGTTCTGGCATCACTAGAGTTGTTATGTGCATCAGTGCTGACACTCTATCTTCACTATATCTCCTTGAGTTCTACTTTAATCAGACTCTAATGCAAGTATTAAGATGATATCATCAGCTAAAAAGCCCCAGCCAATCAAAACAGTACCTTCCTGAGTGATGACATCAGCACTAAGAAAAGACTGTTTGCATGAGAGAAAGGGAAAAAGTCAAACACAGTGAAGCAAATGATTCTTGCACATGGAACATGATATTTCAGTTTTTGACCTTTCTTATTAGGCGAGATTATTAAACTAAGGAGTTGAGTTAGTTAGTATGTGTAGGTTGGTCTTGTGTTAGTTTGCAAGGATGCTGCACCAATAATGTTTTAAACAGAATATCCTCAGAAGCTGTTTTTCAATTAACTCCAGGAAATGTCCAAAAAAAATTGGGCATTTTCCAGAGTTTGCCTTTCACATATGAAAAACGCAGCAGAGGGTTGTCTGGGTCCGACGTGGTCACAACAACAGGAAAATGTCCTGAATTTCAGGTGCCTGGTTACATCATGCAGGAGGCAGGACATGACATATAAATTCTGCTGTGGACAGCACAGCGTTTTGCTTACTGGCGTTGGCCCTCATCACTAAAACCTCTCGAATCTCGTTGTCTTTCCAACTTGACATGCCCATTGGCATCTTAGACGTGTGTGGCCCCTCTATTTCATCCTGAGACAGTTGTATTCTTCCAGTTTTTGCGTCCTTTACATGTTAGAAATGTCATCAACATAACCCGTTTTTGTGTGTTTCTGATATTTTCATAGTCTGCTTGTATTGTGTCACAAACCATTGTGAAGCTGCATGTATGTGTCATAATGTGTCATGGTTTTCCCTCCCCCTCGTCATCTTTAAGCCCGGGTCGTCAGGTCCGAGTCGGACGGCTCCTTTACACTCACTCTGTCTGTTCCTGAGCTGGAGAGGGCCTTTGGGAAAAAGTTCAAGTCCAAGACTAAGTATTAAACAACAAGAAAAAAAAAAAAAAACCTTTTGAAACACAAACAAGGCACCGTTTGACCGCTCAGCCTCGCCTCTCTTCTGCCAACACCTCCTGGTTGATTTCAGACCACCAGAGCTGCTGCCACCTCCTCTTGTGCTCCTCTGAGAGTTTCTGTTGCTTCTGCACAGCACCTATCATCACCCTCCTTCTTTCCCTCTTCTGGTCATCTATTTGCAATGGCCTTCCATTCCATAGTACAGCTGTCAGAATGATAAGATTTGTTACCTAAGGTTTTTAACATTTTCCAAGAAATGTAAGAATGTTTCATTAAAAATGAAATTAACTTGAAAGTTTTGTTTCCCCACAATATCCAGAAACCTTAAAAAGATATTACGTTATTAAAAAAATCTAATATCCTCACAAGATTATCACAAGTAAAACAAAGTAAGTAATTAATTTTAGAAATTCGATGTTACTAAGCAAAACTGACTGCTCTTTGCTTGTTTATCTTTTTCTAGGAGTTAATCTCATTTGTAAGGGAAAAGAAAATCTGTACTGTTGTTTAATCTTTGGCCACAATACTGTTCCTCCTTGCCTGCTTTACTCTCTGGATCCTCCTGCTCTCCTGATTATCTCCTGGATCTCTGTTTAGGCAATGGCCAGTCGCTAGAAGCATTTTGTTTTAGGAACGCCTCAAGATTATCCTTTCAAATTTGGCACAAATGTTCACATAGACTCACAGATTAACTGATTCAATTTTTGTGATCAAAGATCATAAGATCAAGGTGGCCTCATAAAACACGTTTTTCGGCCTCTTGAACATATCTCATGTCTGCCTTCAGGGAATTTCTTTACATTCAGTTGTCACTTGGATTCAAAGACTAACTGAATAGCTTTCAGTGGACAAAGGTCAAAGGTGACCCTCATATTATTGGGAATGCAATATGACAGGAACAACTGGAGAGACTAAAACGGCATCAGTTGGCGGAGGGATACAACCACAGGGTGGCTTCCTGCACTTTCAGGAGAAATTCTTCCTCTGCTCGGCCTCTTTGCTCTGCTCTTCTCCTCTATACATTGCTCTTATCAAAAGTTGGATTACCAACTTGGCAAACAAAGAAAACAAGGCAAGTGCCACCAGGCCCCAAACCATGGATGATGGATTATTTAATAGGCCAATCAGGCAAAAACTAGAGTGGATTAATCCAACATTACTTTTATTACCTTCCCACCTATGGCTCTTGTTCTGTTTTTCCATTCAGCAGGTCTTGCTAAAGCCATTTCCTTCTGCAGCCACTTGTAGTAAAAGTGGTGAAACTTTCTCTCCTTTAGTTATAGATTATGATGATAAATTCTCTCGGTTTGTTTTTCTAATATTCTCTCCCTTTCTTCTCTCTTTCCTCTTCCTCCTTTGTTCTCTCTCTTCCTCCATCCCTCTCTCCATCTGTAGTAAGAAAGAGAAGGCTTGAGGGAGGACCCATCTTCCCTAAGTGTCGGACGAATGTGTAGAAACCAGGGTTACATTCAATCCCCATGTTCCCTCCTTGACCCCCGTCACCTTTCTGGTGCCTCGTCTCGTAAACAACCTCTGACGACCCTCCAGAAGACCACTACCACCACGCCGGGTTCAGTTTACGGTTTGGAGAAAATCTCTGAACTCTTACTGACACTTTTAGTTGATATTAGAGGATCGAATGGGATTAATCAGCATTTTCCTTATGAGCCTTTCGGTGCATGCCAAAAAGAGTAATATTATTTTGTGCTCTGAATTTTGTATTTTGACTCTGGTTTTTGTCTTGGACAACAATATCCACAGTTCTTTGTATGAACTTATCTCATCTTGAATCCTTATGTATCTCATGAAGTGTCTAGATTTCATATTGAAGGGGCTGGAGGTCTGGTTTTTGAATGAGCATCCATTTGAGAGGTGATGGGCCTATTTCACAACCCTTGTTCCAATTGACCTTAATCAATTCTAGTGGTAATTGATATTATTTTGAATGTGCTGTAAATGATTTGTTCTGTCATCACTGTTGTTCCCAACAGTTTCTGATGTTGCTCCAACGTCAGCATACATACAAGGTTTCTCCTACCAATTATACACAAAAGCCAGTGTCCTTTTGTAGCTTGACAGACAAACTGAAAAAAAAAATGCCAACTGTAATGTCACACTTTGACCTTGTCATGACAGTTTGATGTTACAGCCTTTTTTCCTACTCTGTTTGAAACGGTATTTTAGTGACTCATGTCCTCAGACTTTTCAGTTATAGACAGATTTGTAAACCTGTCAACTGTGAGATTGTTTCTATATACAGATTATATTTATTTCTGACGGACCTGGGAAAGAGTCAGTGTCTATTCAAATACTTGACATTAATTGGATCCACTGTGCTGTAAATCAAAATGTGAACTTTACACGGTTACCTTATCCAACATTTATATTAGCAGGCTCTAATCCTATTGGTTGCGCATAACAACTGCCAATTCAAGTTTTGTATACTGAAATTGGATATTCTATGAACCCACTTTGAAAAATTCTACAAACAACGTCTTGTATTAGAGGTCATTGTGGACATTTTGACTATGTACCAACACGTAAAGTATTCGAATGGATTTCTGCTGCACTTTCAACCAGGTCTGCTAAGTTGACCATTTGTGTTTGTTTGTTTTTATTTACTGGAGCTAAAAAAAAAAAAGGTGTGCCTTAATATGAAACGATTCGTACTGTTGACTCACTGTTTATTACAAGTTTCACATAAACGTCTCAATCGAGGTTTGAATGATTTCATTAGTGGATATTTAGAAAGATTTGAAAACACAGGGAACCTCTTATGTCTTTACAGCTGTTAAATTACCAACTCCACAGCCAACTATGGTAATGATAAATGCTGCTGTGTATCTTCTAACAATTCATTTGATTTCTTTTCATTTTAAACTCAACAGCACATTGAGAAAAAATAAGGAACTAGAGCTATAATGTGGCTTTCTCCAGAAATGGTCTGCACACTGATGAGATGTCTGTCTCTCCTAACAACAACTGTACCTGACACGGACTCTCAGAGATCAAAAAGAGTCTGACTGCATGTTTATGTGTCAGGTAACCCACTTAATGTCACCACTACTTTGTTCCTGTATCGTCTGTGTTGTGTTATAACTGAATGCTGAAAGGCAGCGAGGACTGTGCCCCTGCCACTCTTTTCTTCTTTCTGGTGTTCTCTGATATTTTAGCGCTTGACTCTTTGTGTTTTGTTTGATAGTTCACTTCTTTTTTTTTGGTTGAATTTTTGATTAGGGGAAAAATAAAGCTTGAAATTACAAATCCGACAATGTTCATGTGCTTAAACTTTATTGGCATTTAACTGGATGTTATAGATGTGCTTCCATTTAGAGACAACAGTGACACCCAGTGGCTACATGGAAGAAATACATCACAACATCTTAGACCGCCCATCTCTCTGTACCACATAGTGCCCTCTTCATGCAAAGAATATCACTGCATCATACATTATATATTTTATCAACCTGTAATGATGGCTGTTCTTTATATCCTTGTCATTGTGCAGATTTCACTTGAGAGCCAGAATAATTTAAATCTCGTTCCCAGTGAAGAGAAACGAAGCTTTGCCAGCTTATTTACTTTGTGATAGAACGCAGAGGTACCAAACTTTATACTCAATAATACGTTTGACGTGACACATAAAATGATACACCAGGCTGTTGCTTGGTATTTTAAAGAGAGAGAATTTGAATACTCATAAGTAGCTGTGATGCTGGGCTGTGTGTTTATGCAAGGTGGAGACATCTATGGCAGAACATCAGGTGTTCAGCTCCGGAGCAACGATGTGCTGGACTGTGTGAGGTGTCATCACACTGCAGCGCAAAGTTTTTCTCTTTCAATGAACAAGATAGATGTTTTTATAATTCCTTAAGTCCAGGTCAAACTCAACAACATTTTATCTATAGAACTAGATCATAGACTGTGTAGATGTAGTCTATGGACTAGATCATAACTGTAGGTGTAGGTATGGTGTAAATGAAAGCCAAGATATGAAGCAATGAAATCTAAATTATGGTAATTTATTACCTGTCATACATGTTTTCATCTGCATTTCTTTGTTAACAGGATTACAGATTACCACGAAACTTAGTGGAAGGATATGGTATGGGTCAAGAGAAAACCCATAAAACCCATTTTGGTGTGGAATCAGATCAGGGACCTGATGCTTTTTTTCACTTTAACATTATGAGGTAAGATGTTTTTCCACATTTTCTTAGATTTCTCTGAGAGTAATTCATCTGCCTCTAGTCGATTGTAATGTGGTTTCATAAGGGGACTGTTATTTGGGCCTAGGCAGAGGAATGCGCTCACTGTGCAATTTAGCAATTTCATACATTGTGTTGATTTAATTTAACTTTATCTAGTTATAAATTGGGTTACTACTCTAAATGCTTTAGTGTCATCCTTTGTTTTGTTCCAGAGTTTTTGTTTCTTTAATCAGACACCATGTACTTTTTGATTGGGCTTTTTAATGCCTGTATTGCATTGTACTTCATTCATGATAATCAATATTTATAAGGGAACTGCTATTAATTACGTTATTAATTACCATGGAAAGCAACAAGAGGAAGGTGTCAACATATGTGTTTGCTCTGTTCCATTAAAATGTCACATATCATGACTTTGAACAGGATCAACTAAACACACATTTCATTATTGTGCTTTTCCTATACTGTGGCATGTCGAAATGTCTAGTGGAAAAAGAAGACCTAGTAGATTTAAAGCACTAAATCAAAGGTCCTTTTTCACACAGGCCTGAATTTACTCATAAGTTAACAGAGGATGCTTTGTCACCTTCCCTGTTCACGGTGGTTTGATTCCAAACTCACATCACTGAGAAAAGAGAACACGTTTTTTAATGTGTGTGAACAAGGTTTTGTTTTTATTGAATCTCAGGCAGAAATATACATGATCATCCTTTATTGCTCGTGGCATTCCACATCCCCATCAATGGCTCACTGTCACCAACAATAACTAAAACTGAATCAAGCATTTTTAATGTCATCTTTTAAAACAATCCTGGTTCTGTTGCGTAATCAAAGCAGTAGTCAAACTGTAGTATTCCCTTTACTGTGTGTGTGTGTGTGTGTGTGTGTGTGTGTGTTCGTGTGTTTATGTGTAAGTGTATTAAGAGAAATGCAATCCCCACCAGATATATTAACATGATCCAAACTCCAGATGATCACATGCTTTTATCTCTTCATACAGTTTCTCTCAGCATTCTCTCCCGAGTAGTAGATCCTGATAGTAAGAGTATATACTGTAAGCTCTGTGTTTATGGCTGAAAGGTTAAGGTTTTGGCTGTTGTATGTACGGCTACACGGTCATTCTAAATCAAAACTGAGACAAAACAACATAAAAATAAAACCCTGCAAATCTGTGAATCAAATTTCCTGAATGCATATATGTCTTCTTTTTTATATCACTGATATTATTAACGGTTACACTGACATGGTACTGAAAACACACTCAAACTCAGGAGTTATTGCCTTAAATTTTTTTTTGCATGATAAAGAACAGGAGAAAAGGGAGCACGGGGCGTGGGTTCGTACATTTTCACACGACAAACTTCTCTAGACAAATGGCATGCAAGACGTAAGAAGGAAACGCACTGAACAGGGGAATAGAAACATTTTAAACACTACGCTACATGGATACACTTTGACGTCAGGCGCGGTAGGAGTGCCAGGGACATGGACACTAGGTCTTACAGAGAATGTGTGACACTGTGTGCAAAAGGTTTCACATAAATTTCAGACATGGTCGAACACAAAACAGTATTTTAGGAGCACACAACAATAGTCTTTAAATTTCCTTTTTCAAATATGGCTTATCAAGTTATCACATGTTTTGTTACCTTAGAGACAGACACACGGTTAGTATAATAATTTCATATAGTATTCTATGATTGTTTGCCCACCTTGAGGCGTCTCATGTATTCATTCATCTATGTACAAATTGAGTGATCAAGGTGATTATATGTCGGAGCTCTGCAGCTTCATCAGAGGAGAGAAAAAAGGAGTTTTAAAATTCCTCGGACTAAAAGGCTAAACCATCAAACGTTGTGTCTTCAGCCCCTCTGCTCGCTGTTAGCTTTATTAGCGTAACTTAGCTAACGTTAACATCAGTCAAGCTAACGTTCACCTGGACGTTGGGTTAGCCTAGCTTAGTCTAACTGCAATTCACACAGCTGGTTCACATCTGATTTATTTTCCCCACCATGAAACTTCGCTTTAGCCGAACACCAAAAACACTGCACTGTATTTTAACTTCTTTGTGCCTTCTTTTTTTGCACGTACATGTGGATGGAAGAAAACCCTGATTAAAGCCAACCATGTGAATGTTGCCTGTGAACTAAGCAAGATAATGTTAGCATTAGCCAGCTAGCTAACCTACTTCTTCAGCATGTCTTGCAGCGGGCCTGGCAGGTATTTCATCACTGTGTCCATGATGCTTTCCTCCTCTTCCTCATCACCGCAGCCGGCCGGCACTGCCTTCTTGGGTCGGGTCAAGCTACCGGCTACTGCCTCCTCCTGGGCGGCTGCCGCCTCAGCCTCGGCCTCCTCGCGCTTTTTCAAGCCGTACTGGTGGACAAACAAAGAAATATCAGAGATATTGTAATTGGATGAATATATTATTGTAAAGTTAGAGGGGTAAAGGATGCGTACAAAACACAGGTAAAGAAAACCACCATAGTTTGATGGAACCCACATCACACTGACGTATGATCAAGTGTTCATTAGTCTGGTTTTAATTACTCATCTGACATTATAAAAACGGATTGGAATGTCATGATTGACACCTGAGACTGACTTGTGATTGGTTGAACACATGTATTGGCGGGACTTCAATAACACGACTCGTTCTTCCAATCTCTCTGGCACAAAATGGAAGCATAAGTGTTCTAGATAGTGGGTGGAAGATGCATCGTCCATCTTTAGACTAGGATCGCTACCTGCTGCCTGTATATCTTGTTCAAGTGATGGTATAAATAATTTAAATTTTCTACATTGGTGCCGGTTGATTCAAGCCCCAGAAACAGTGCTTTACTGGAACTTGACTTTGCTGTTGTGGTCACTCTGGGTATTGCAACTTTGGGGATCATCATGAGACCAAGGGGCTCAGAAATCCCTTTTACAAGATGAATACATTTATCTAAATACCAAAATGATTTTGTATGACTCAGATGGGCCTGTGGGAGTTATTTTTTGGATAGGAATCTCATAATTATGAGAAATCCGATAAAACGTGAATGTGTCATAATGCACAAGCACTCCTACTCATCCATCATCCTTCCTATTGAACTCATCCATTGGATCCTTTTCCAGTTTGAGCAGCTGCTAACCCTTTATCTTTCTCTTGTTCCTGTCTGTCTGTCAGCAAAGCAACAACAATAAGAGCAGATGTCTTATCGGTGCTGCTGTGTCCACACTATGACAGTGCATGTCAGATATTTGTGTTAGGCTATATATTGGTGGTACAAAGGCACTGCAGCTTTATGGAATTTTCTTTGCATTGAGAAAAAAGGGAAATTATTGTTCCCATTTAACACAGACAGAAATTTTCAAGTATTTCAGAATCATACAATTTTCCCAAATTAACAGATTTACCGATGTGACTTAGTTCACTCTGTTATCTGTCATCCTGTGATGTGACCAAGTCAAGAGTTTCGGCCTTCAGCTGTGATATTGACATGTCTTACAGTATCTTGCATAATGGGACAAAGCCATGGAAGAGGCTGACGGAAACCTTTCAGTAACGAGCACTTTGGGAGTTTTTCCCTGCTCTTCTTTGTTCTCTTCTGGGAGAGCTTAAGGAGAATCGACGAAGCGAGGGGAGGAGTGCTGCTTTTCGTACCGTCAATTCACAGCAGCCCCTTGGACCTGCATGGCCCATAGACTGCCCGTCTTTCACACCTTCTCTACACTTATTCTCTACATGTATATTCTCACTATAAGTATTCTCAGTTACTCCACAGCTTAACATATTTGAAGAGAGGAATAAACCACTGAATGTGACGTGTCACTAAATAATCACAATGCAAAATCTGAATGTGTTTTAGTCACCAAACACAATGTATAATGTATATCCCTCTTCATAATACATAAACCTCATATGGACCATTGCACTGTAGTTCACAGTTGTACCTAAAGCACTGGAGAGAAAAAAGATCATGGTGGCTCACAGATTTCCACCCGTTTCTGTCTAAAAATTCCAACTGATCTTTATTTATCGTGATTTTGTTCATCTACTGTTCCTACGTCTGCTCTCAGCTCTGTGCAGCTGCTTCCTGATCCTCCATTGATCATTTTATAATCTCAGAAGGTGATAAAAATAACACAAAGCAAATAAAAATAGGGCGATTTCAAACACGGGTCTGTCATACAGAGAGTTTTGCTGTCGTGCAGCAAGAATGTGAAGCGTTTAGAAGCTGCGCTAACATCACAAGACAGAACGGCATCCAAAGTCATCAAACAGATCTGACATGTAAGAAATGTTTGTGGAGGAGGAGGGTGTATTTGCTTATCACCCTCATTTTGCTTTTCATATCTATCTATTAGCACTGATTATTAGAAAATTCCTCTTAAATGTTTTCCTCGTTTGGCCTTTCTTTATATTGGCTACTCTGATGATGGCTCTGTATTTCAGTTATTGATGAATCAAACTCATCTGTCGTTATACCTTATCCCTGATGCCTTGCCTCATCCTTTCCCTCTCTGCCTCCATCTTGGCGTATTTGTCCTTCCTCTCCTCTTCTTGCTGCCTCAGTGCCTCCTGTCGCTCCTCCTCTTTCTTCGCTGCGTCGGGGTCCTCCTCCTCTTTCTCTCCTCCCAGCATCTTGCCCACATCAGGAGGTCCTCCTGAGAAAAGGTGCGAGAGAATGAGAGACAGGAGACACAATGACAGCTGTTACTATTGTTTTTCTTAATGTCAATTTATGGAGAATTAACATTTGAGTTTTCACCATTCAAATATACAATTATTCCTTCAAGTTAAATACAAATATGTGACTCAACATTTGTCAGTAGTGTGAAAATGGTGGCCTGAGGATACAGTTACTCATACTTGAATAGTAGCAGTGTGCAGTGGCAGGGTTTTAGTAATGCTGTTGTCACGACTTAAATCATCTTATGTAGGAAAACATAGGACATTTTTTACGAGTAAAAAAAAAATCTGTAAACTGTTCTTTATATGTGACTTTTTTGACATTTTTAGGAGTTTTCATTTCAACAATCTGAGACATACAAATGTAATTCTGAGAACAATTTATTTTGTCCTAAAAACAGTCCCCTTGAAAAATGGTTGTATAATCTCCCTTTCAATCAACCAATCTAATAAATTTGTGGTTTGTGTTTATAGAATGCAAACTCCTTTAAGTCAATAAAAATCCCCCAAAGTTCCAAAAGCAATTATGATGATATGACCTTGGTGTCTTCAATCGTAGCTACAGACTTGGAATCAAACAATAGATATTTTCTGTAATACTAATATTAATAAGCCCCTGAATATGTCTTCTTCTTCTGCTGTACATATTGGAGTTATACATCCCATAAAATAATGCGTCATGGTGCCAAAACAAAGAAATGCTATGTTGCAAACCAGCGCTGAGGGAGAAGAGGTAGAACTGTCACCAAGCATCAACAGAAAAGACAAGAATAAACAAATAGGAGGAAAGCCTGTGGTCTGAGGGATTTGGGCAAAGACTGGAGCATATAAGAAGTGAGGAGGAAAAAGACGAGAAAAAAGAAGGGAGATGGGGAGTTAGTATTCTGCAGCAAAAAAGACATATTTAGGAAAACAAGGCGAGCATGAGGAGAGGGAGAGAATCTGTCAGAAACTATTGAGTCCAATTAGCTGAGCTGTTCCAGTTAGTGGGATTACCCAGCAGTTTCCGTGGGACCAGAGAGAGAGGGACGGATGGAGTGTGACAAGATAAAAAGATGGAGAGGGGGGGAAAACAGGAGGGAGCTGTGAGAGGAAAACAACAAAGTGTGAGGAAAGGGGAAAAGAAGGTGTGGAAGAAATGAGGTATAAATTAAAGAGTGTTCAAAAAAAAAAGGAAGAAATGGAAGAGAAGGGGAAGATAGGAGGAAGTGGAGGAGGAAGAATAGAAGGGAGGGAGGTAGGGAGGTAGGGGTTGAGATGCAGCCAAGGGGCATGTGAGGAGAGAAAGCAAGCAACCAAAGAGGAAAGAAAGAGTACTCCTTCAGTCTGCAGCTGCCTCCCGGTATTGACTCATCAGCATAATAAAAGTGAAGTGCAGCAAAATGCGCAGAGATAAAAGGAGAGATGGAGGAGAAGAAAGGATGAAGTGGGAAGGGATGAGCGTAGGAGCAACGAAGGAGAACAAGAATGTGTGACAGGGACATAAAAACATAGAGAAACTGATGTCTTTTGAAAGAGAGGGAGACATTTCAAATTTATATAGTTTCAAGTTCTTTTGATTTGGTATGTTTTTTGGATCAAATAAATATAACTAGGCCTATAAAGGATCTGGAGCAAAGCTTGAGAAAAATCATGAGAGGTCTTGATTACCCATGCAAGTTTTTTGTTTTTTAATACCACTTTTTATAAATCATGGGCTGGAACCAGCAACAATATATGTTAACAAAATTACCCCCTCAAAAGATCTCAAATTGATCCGTACTGTAGTCAGTAGAAAAAGTGAAGTGTAGATGACATACTGTGGTCGTGTGGAGGTCATGTATTGGACTATGGTTAAAGTAAAAAATTTTCAGTCTTTTTGCTAAGCTAAGCTAACAGTCTTTGATACTAGAGTGGTATTGATCAAAACTTTAGCAAAAAAGGAAATAAGAGCTTTCCTTAAATGTCTAAATACAAACCACACATTCAAGAGAAGAACAAAGATGGACGCCAACAGAAAGTCTCGCAGATTTGCAGTGCACGGCACCGCAATGAGATCAACATTACACACAAGCATTAAAGAAAAACTAAGGCAGTAGTCTCATGAATGAACCACTTAGATCTAAGAGAAAGAGACAGATGAGGAAGGAAATTCAAGGACAAAGTAAGATATGCAAAGTAAACTGATGTATGAGTGTTTGATAAACAGCACAGCGAAACTGACAGGGCAATATCTGTCCATCCAACCATGATACACTATCTCCTTAAAGGTGCGTGTGTGTGTAGGTAGTGAGGGAGAAATATATCTATAGTGCATGTACAATAAGTGCTTTTATATGCACTGATGGATAAAACTAACTGGTTAGTTCCATTTGGTGAAACACAACTGAGTTCCTGTGTGGTAGAGCAATTGTCTTCACGCGTTTGTGCAGAGTATGTACACGCCCATAAGTGTGTCTTTGCATATGCACATAATATATGTGGGACTTTGCAGTGATTGTAACATTTACAGTGAAGCAGCATTCTGGATAACGACTCATATCCTATTGAAGTGTGACTCTGAAGTGTGTATGTACAACTTTAATCCACCAGCCACCTTGTTCCATATGTACACACTGTATAGAGATGGCTGGTCTACAGCATCCTAACTGAGTTGCTAGGAAACAGCTTGATCGAAATTTCACTCCTGTCATTGGATGATTTTGGCAAACTCTGCAATTAAAAAACTGAATTAAAAGTGGAACAATTAAGAATCAGTTCTTGCAGTGGACAAATGGTTCACTTTCATTGAACTACCCTTCTTGTCTTATACACATAGACTGTATATGATCGGGGAAGACAAGGTCCCGCCGATACACATGCTCAACCAATAGCGAGTAAGTCTCAGCTGTCAGTCAAAAAACCAAAGTTGCTGGAAGAAAGATGTGATGTGTATTTTTACTTTTTAGTTTGGAATATGTCCCATCTGTTGCCATGGAGGAGGTGGGGTAAATGACCTATATGGCAGCCGGAGGAGATCTTAGGTTTGGGAAGCAGTCACATCGTTTAAAACCTATGATTAAGTCAGTAGAGAAATGAGCTAGCATAGTGTGTCAATCAAAATGAATCCCAACAAATTAAACTAAACATATAATGGTTTCTACGGCAATGTAAGAAAAACTGCAGACGCAGGATTCAGGAGCAGCTCATGAGCCCAGTACCTGAATTATCTCTATCTATAGCGCCTGTGTAAACACTGCCATTCAATCCTGTAATTGGAGCAATGACTCACACAATCAGCTAAGCCTCATTGTCAAATGATTGCACAGCTCACAAAAAAAACAACAACCTCCAGTAACTCTTTTAAATTACAATATGCCAACCCAAAACAAACTCGGCCTGGTTTCACAAAATCTTATTAGAACACTGAGATCATCTTTGTTCAGATGTAAAACAGAGAGGATCCTGGGAGACAAAGACTCAAGTTATATTGAGCTATGATCCCAGCCCCTACTTTGTGAGTCATTTGTGAAAGATACAGCAGTGTCCTTTTAAACCAGAATAATTCCATTAAGCTCTCAGGCCGCATCGAGCTACGTTTGAGTGTTCTGAGTGTCTTCACACTTTAGCCCCACACACTGTGTTAGGTTAGGTTGTTGTAGTTGTTGAAATGACGTTGAATATATAAGCTAACAAAAGCCTGTAACAGAATGTTGACAGGTTGACCTTGAACCTGTTTATCATATTTTTGTATAATCCACATTTCAATGAGTCAGAAAAGACAAAGAGGCACTTTGAGGGGAAATTCTCCATCATGCGAAACAAAAGACGGTCAACAAAGATTTGTGTGACTTATAGGCAAAATAAAATGTACAACGTGATAATGACACAAAGTAAAATGAACAGATCTTGAGGTTAACACCGTTCTGATCACCTGCTATAGTCAATTTCTAAGAACATTTCCCATCGCAGCAATTTTCCTTTAATGTTGCCCACAAGCTGAAATTATATCATGATTCTTTCCTTAATACCTGGACATTGCTTCACAGCTGAGATAAAACATGTCTTCTATAATCCTTTTCCTTCTGAAAGTTCTTTGCAAAGTCTTTGTTAAATCCAAAGTCTTGAGGACAAGCGAGAGAGAAAAGTAACCTTGGCTGACTCTGCCAGAGCTTGAACTTTAGACAGCATCAGATAAATAGCTTTTATCTGCTCTTTTCCCACTCTCGGTCCTCAGGAGAACCCCTCTCTAAATACGACGTGTGGTGGGAAAGTGGATAAGTGTAAAGATTCAGGTTTGGCCTTCAGGACAGAAACTATTGTCTCAACACAGCTTATTATAAAGCAGGAAAAAAAGCAGGAGGAATTGGTAGTAAAAGGAGAAGAGAGGAGTTGTTGTTCCACTACTTTACTTCTTTCTTCTCTAATTGGTGGCAGTTTTGCTTTAAGTCAGCTTAAATTTCCCTCAGGTAAAACGGCTCTGCACATTTTATCAGCAGGGCTCTAAGTGAGGAAGCTTT